TATTGTTCAATGACCAGGACAGTTGAAAAGAAGCAATAAACGAACAGAATTCAATACGCGTAGACTCATCTACTAGAGGTCTTCTTTGACGCGGCGACAGGGAGGTGCCCTCACAAAGTCTTTGACCAGGCAACCCGTCCAGTCAGCCCCATGATGCAGACAAACTTTGATGATAAACGCAATAGGCCTGCCATGTTGCACGGCAGTACGCAATGGATTCTCTCTTCTAGCATCATCCTCTGCGTGATGCATTGGCACATCTTGCGTTTGTCTCGTTCTGAATCTCAGTCTTGGCGGTCATGTGGGAAGACTAAGTCAAACCCCCCACTTCCTGGCACCCCCCTGTTTCTGGCACCCACAAAAACGATGGGATCACAACCCAACCTCCTCATTACTATTAACCACACCCACTACAATACAACTGCCAGCCTCACTAGGGCATTCAGAGTCGCTGGATTCAGCCGTAATAACCTCCTTTTCACCCGCTTCGATTTGAGCCCGATGGATATCCCTGATGTTCGCAAACTTCGTGTTGGGATCGATCTGAACAGTCTTCCTCTTCCTAACTGCAGCGTTGGTAACTTGGCCCTCAGGTGAGCCAGCTGCTGCTGGGCAACTGCCAGTTGCCAGGCCTGCTCTGTGAAGCCTTTTTCACCTTCCTGAACAGCAGCCGTTGAGTGCTGGTATCATTGTCGAGTTGGGTGTATAAGTGCAGTTGACCGCTGAGCTCTGCCAGCTTCCTGGGTGTCGACCAGACCACTGCAGAGGAAGCAGAATCCCATGGCTCAACAGGGGTAGTTTGTTGACCATTATGGCATCGCTTTTGCCCCGACTGGTTGGTTTGGGTGTGGTGGGCTTAGCAGAAGGCTCAGGTAATACCATAGGGTTCATCAGGGCTTAACCATCGCTACAGGTGTAGACCAGTCCACTTCCAACCACTTCTGATGTTCGAGACTGATAGACCAGCAAGTCGAGCCTTCTGGTAACAGTCCAGGAAGTTCCTTTTACCTATAATGGTAGAGTCGTTCCATTGAGACAAGTAACCGAGCTCCTTCCGATAGGCTGACTTAACAGGGCTGAAGACAGACTGGTCAAGTGGCTGGAGGACATGAGAGGAGTGTGGTGGTAAGAACAGTAAATGGATATTGTTAATATAGCAATTCCACATGAAGTCTGTCGTCGTATGACTCCCATGCCCATCCACAATCAACAGTCGAGCCTCGCCCTCAGCCTCGGGCATAGTCTGTGGGATAAACACCTTCTCTAACCATTCAATGGCAGTTAAGTCTGTAGTCCAGCCATTATCTGTTGCTGTAAACTCCCACCCATCGTATGGAACCAGATGTAATGGAAACCACTGTTGTTGGACCGTCTTCCCTTGAAAATGATAAGAGGACGAAGTGCCCTACCCAAGGCTGAGATACACTCAATGATAGAGACCCATGCCCTCGACCCAGGTTGTTTCTTGCGAACAGACGTCGTCTCAGCCATGCCCAGCACTAACCCATTAGCTCCTGACCCTCGAGGATGCCAGTCTCATCCATATTATATCTGTTGGCTGGTTTGATGTCCTTGATCTCAGGGATAGCAAGGAACTTAAACCAGTTCCTAATGACCTCAGTAGATGCCCCATTAACGCGTCTAGAATCGATGGAACGACTTCTCTGAACCTTAATGATAGGGTTCCTTCTCACGAAGGCATAGATCCAGCCTTTTCTAATGGTTTGGTATCCCCAGCAGCAGCCAGAACTCGCTCTGCGAATTCCTTCACCTGTTGGTGCGTTGGTGCGAGGCCCAGCGAAGCCTGAATGCGAACCCATTGTGCCAGCTTACTCTCCTGGTCAGGAGACAGCCTCTGCCAGTCAGCAAAAGCCACTTTCCTAGTCTGACCACCTTGGAGACGTAGTTGGAGGGTTGATCGTGGTATCCCATACTCCAATGAGGCTCTCTTTTGACTCTTGCCGTTTGAGATGTCCTCGAGAGCCTGACGAAGCTGATCTTCGGTATATTGAGGCATTAGATATAGAAGAAGGTATGTGCAAAAAATGAGCCCATTTGGACTCGAATTGAAAATGTTGTGATAAAAGGAGGTTGGGGGTGGGCATTGCGTTGTGGTGGATTTTCGCGTTTTTGTGGGTGCCAGAAACAGGGGGGTGCCGGGAAGTGGGGGGTTTGACTTATCAAAGCCGGCTGTTCGCCAGTCTACCGTCTGTCCAACCAGGCCACACAAAATGTCGAGAATCACACATAAGCGCATTCATCCCACTCACGAAGATTGATGCTTCGAAGACATCGCTGCGATTCGCCAGAACTATCCCAGGCTATTTGAACCAAACTTGCCATGCCCAAAATGGCTATCCTTCACCTCCTAACTCTCGGCCTCGCCGCAGCTGCGATGGCATCTCCAGCCCCGTCCAACGACGTAGCACCCACAGACCCAAAGGAGTCCCTCGTAAGAAAAGACGACTGGGACAAGTACCTCAAATACAAGGCCAGCCTAGGCACTCAGGCTTTCGACGAGGCAGCTGTGCAACGCATATGCGATCTGGTCCTCTGCCTGGGTCCAAATCACACCGGGGAATGCAGCCTTTGGTGCCACTACAAAGGAGAACTTCAGAGTTTTGAAGAAGCGAAGCAGCGAGAGATCACGATGTCGACATATTTCACACAGTCCGATCGTTGTAATTTCTACGCGTATGTTGTGTTGAGGCCCTCACATGATCAAGCGATGGATTAGAAAGCTGACTTGGTGATGCATTTTGACTAGCTCTGGTGACAAGAAGTGTCACATACCAACCCTGATGAGCCAGTCTACCTTTCACCAGCTCATTTATCACGGAGGGATCATACCTGAGGGCAACTTTATGGACAGACTGAAGGGAAAGATGGGATGTGTGGTCTGCTCCGACGATCCCAACCTGCATCCTGATCCGGCGCTTTGAGAGACCGAAGACCTGTTAGGATGGTACTGTGCTAAAGGTCTAATGAAGGCAGCATGAATGGTGCATGTATCCCATCCCACTTTGGCTGCGCTCATCACTTTGGGATAAAGTCTTATGCACTTTGGTGTCTACTCTGGGGTATGGAAGTAAAAAAATACCACGAATCATTCGCATGAAAATTGAGAATAATGAGTAAGCTGATGGTACCACCTCGACGTGATATTCAGCAGGATTAGTAGTTGTGTGGCAGGGATACGGTATTTGGGGTTCCAAAGCTTGTATGTTGAGAGAGACCGGGTTTATTCGCTTAGCGTAACGGTATGCACGTTTCCTTCTGCAGAAGGTGACCGCATCCCGTAGAGATGTTTGTGAACCTATTCCACACGGAATCCTGGTCAAGTCGGCTACTTGGAAGAGCCCGGGAAAGTGACTCTCGGCCCCGGAACTCCCAGGCCGATCCGGAGCTTCGATGCCGTGGAACTTGTGCCACGGCGAAAGCAACGCCCCGCCGCGCTCCACCGTTGCGGGGATCATCTGAAGATGATTTCTAATACATGCGTCATCCTTCAAGTCTCGAAGGGCTGGTTTTCGCCTCGTTGAGATTTCAAAAGCAAAGAAAGAACCAAGTGAAGTGTAAGACGTCACAGATACACCCAGATAGAAGGGACAGAGACGACGACAAGCAACTATGAGCACCGACACGCAAGTCCAACGCTGGCAGACCCGCCAAGACGGGCTGGACAAGCTCTTCCTCGCCACGGCGCCCCTGCCGCAGCCCGGGCCGGGCGAGGTACTCGTCAAGATCAGCGCCGTGTCTCTCAACTACCGAGACACGGAGGTGGCCATGGGCCTCTACAACCACCACAAGACAATCAATCCGGCCGAGATGGAGCCCATCGTCCCGGCTTCGGACATGTGCGGCTCTGTCGTCTCTGTGGGCGATGGCGTCAGCAGGTGGAAGGCTGGCGATCGCGTCGTGTCGATTTTCAATCAGACGCATCTCAAGGGCCAGATTAAGCCGGTGGACATGAAGAGCGGCCTTGGTTTCCCGTTGGAAGGTGTCTTGCAGACGTACCGCGTCTTCTCTGCTGAGGGGTTGGTCAGGGCGCCCAAGCACCTGAGCGACGAAGAGGCCGCGACTCTTCCCATTGCTGCTGTGACGGCATGGATGTCAATCAACCAGTTCCGTCCTTTGGGCCAGCCTGGCGGCCAGGGCGAGGTTGTGGTATGTCAGGGGACTGGCGGTGTGGCTATTTCGGGATTGCAAATCGCAAAGGCCTCAGGGGCCACGGGTAAGTGATGGACGCGTCCTCAGCTTACGGCTTTGTTCATTGCCGCTAACTATGATTGCGATAAGTCATCATCACATCTTCCTCCGACGAAAAGCTGGAAAAGGCAAAGGCTCTCGGGGCGGATTACACTGTCAACTACCGCACCACACCCAACTGGGACGACAAAGTCAACGAATTCACCAAGGGCGAGGGCGCCAACCTCATCCTCGAAACGGGCGGGGCCAAGACGCTGCGACAATCTTTTGAGGCGATTGGCTTCGGCGGCCAGATTGCGTGCATTGGATATCTGTCTGGGAAAGTCGACGACGTGGAGGACCGGACAAATGTCAATTTGCTTGCGCTGAAGAAGACGGTGACGCTCAAGGGTCTCATCAATGGCCCGAGAGAGCGGTTCGAGGAGATGGTTGCCTTTTACGAGGAGAAGGGTATCAAGCCTGTTGTTGACCGGGTCTTCCAGTTCAAGGAGGCGGATAAGGCGTACAACTACCTGTACAGCGGAGGACACTTTGGCAAGGTTGTCGTCAAGGTCTAAGAATGAGCGTAACATTGAACCTATGGCTAAATGAATGTACGATCTAGTAAGATGAACTCATGGCTTTCATGCGGAATCAAGAAGGCTGACGAGAATGGCATAGTGTGATGAGAATACGGGGTTGACAGCTCGGTGAGCCGAGGCATGTCCTGCAAGCCGATGGACTCGGACAATGATACCCCGCACCGGGGAAGCAGAAGAAGCATGGGGAAGTCAGGGACCCTGAGCTGTTTAGCTGACTCGGGGGCTGTCACTGTCAGAATCCCCTGCAACTCGCCTGTTGCAGCTGTGTGTCGCCGGATACGATGGTGCTGCAGCTCATCTCACTCCATTGGAACTCACATGTCAGCTGTGCGTCTCGTCAGCTTAGTGAGCTTCGTTGGCTTCACTGTGAATCTCATCTCATGCTTTGCTTCACCTCACTCCCTCACTCTCACTCTCACTCTCACTCGTCCACTCACTGAGCACATCACTCATCTTCCCACATTGTGCTCCGTATCACAAAACATCTCCATCCCACAGAAAATCAATCAAATAATCTTTCCGATCCTCAAGCACCATTCCCTGAGCTCCCGCGTGCCGGAACAGACAGCGTCGCAGATCGGCCTTCCGCGGACTTTGCCCCCCCTGCGCCCCAATTCACGCCGTCGGACCAGAACAGTGAGAAGCACCCAAGCTCCAAGAGGCAGATAGAAACCGTCGTTTCCCCCCCCCCCCGGCAGCCGAGAACATCATCCCACCACATACATACACGTTCGTGCCTCTTTCAAGCAGGTCGTAACACCATAAGCCAATCTGCGAGCTCTGGGAACACAGCTCCATTCGGCCGGGACATCTCTTTTCAGTCATCAGTGACCCGAGAATCAGGCAATTCGTCCGCCCAGCCCGCCAAGATACTACCTTGACATCCCGACCAACCCACCCCTGGACCTCCTCCATCTCACCTGGTCTACCGTTATTCATTCATTCCTTCATAAAGCTGACAGACAGCCCGTCTCCCCTCTCCTGCAAGCACTCAAAATCACAAAAAGGGCCATGGCGCCTCAACTGCAAAACGTGCGCGACATCTTCCCCCTCCCCCAAACACCAACCCAAACCCTCGCCACCCTCGCTGGCCTAGGCGCCTCCGCCTGGCTCCTCAAGCTCATCGTCCGCCACATCCTCCTCCGCAGCCCCGCGAAACCCTCCCACGGCTCCCCTTCCACAGCAGGTCCGACCTTCGCCGCAATGAGCGCAGACAAGAAGAAGGAGCTCCTCGAGCGGCCCGCCATCATCGTCGGCGGCGGGCTAGCGGGCCTCGTCGCCGCCTTTGAGCTCTCGGAGCGCGGCGTGCCGACCATCATCATCGACCAGGAAAACGAGGCGAATCTAGGCGGCCAGGCCTTCTGGTCGCTCGGCGGCATCTTTTGCGTCGACTCCACGGAGCAGCGAAGGATGGGCATCAAGGATTCGAGGGAGCTCGCCATGCGCGACTGGTTCGGCTCCGCGCAGTTTGACCGCGAGAAGGAGGATACCTGGCCGAGGAGGTGGGCCGAGGCCTTTGTCAACTTTGCCGCGGACGAGATGGAGCAGTACGTCAAGGCCAGGGGCATGGGCTTCCTCTTCAACGTCGGCTGGGCCGAGAGGGGCGCGGGTATGGCTGAGGGACACGGCAACTCGGTGCCGCGGTTCCACGTTACCTGGGGTACGGGGCCGGAGGTCGTGAGGGTATTCGAAGAACCCGTGAGGCGCGCGGCCAAGAACGGTGTCGTGCAGTTCCGGTTCCGACACCGCGTAGACGAGATCATCACCGACGAGACGGGTCGCGCCATCGGCGTTCGCGGAAAGGTCCTCGCGCCCGACGACTCTGCGCGCGGCGTCAAGTCCAACCGTGACATCGCAGGCGATTTCGAGATATTCGGGTCCGCCGTGGCAGTAACATCCGGCGGTATCGGAGGAAACGTCGAAGCCGTGAAAGCAGCGTGGCCCATCGACCGTCTCGGCCCCAAAGTCCCCGAGAACTTCATCGTCGGCGTCCCAGCCCACGTCGACGGCCGCATGATTGGCATCGCGGAGACAGTCGGGGCCAACGTCATCAACCGCGACCGCATGTGGCACTACACCGAAGGCCTGCAAAACTGGAACCCGATCTGGCCCAACCACGGCATCCGCGTCCTCCCGGCCCCGAGCTCGCTGTGGCTGGACGCGACAGGCAAGCGTCTCCCGCCCTTCCTCTTCCCCGGCACCGATACCCTCGGCACGCTGAAGCACATCTGCGCCACGGGGTACGACTACACGTGGTTCATCCTCGACCAGAGCATCATCGCGCGCGAGTTCGCGCTCTCGGGCTCGGAGCAGAACCCCGACGTCACGGGCAAGAGCATGTGGCAGCTCCTCACGCGCGTGTTCGGCAAGAAGGGCACCGTCCCCGTGCAGAACTTCCAAAAGTACGGCAAGGACTTTGTCGTCAAAGATAACCTCGCCGACCTGGTGCAGGGCATGAACGAGCTGCAGCGCGAGCGCGGCGGGCCGGTGCTGAGCCTGGAGGACATAAAGGAGACGATTGAGATCCGCGACGGGCAGTTCGACAACGCCTACTCCAAGGACGCGCAGGCCATGCTCATCAATAATGGACGGACGTACTGGGCGGACAAGAGGAGTCGTATCGCGCCGCCGCATAAGCTGTTGGATCCCAAGCACGGGCCGCTGATTGCTGTGCGGATGAACCTGTTGACGCGCAAGACGCTGGGCGGTATCGAGACAAATCTGGAGAGTAATGTCATGAAGGCGGATGGGGAGAAGTTCTCTGGTCTGTATGCGGCTGGTGAGGCAGCCGGTTTCGGTGGCGGTGGTGTTCATGGATACAACAGCTTGGAGGGCACGTTCTTAGGAGGTTGCATCTTCTCCGGAAGGGCAGCGGGACGCGGTATGGCGGATGAACTCTTGGGGCCAGCGGAGGCTAGGGGCCCAAAGTCGTACTTGTAATTGTCGACATGTGAAGTGTAGAAGATAACTGTGATGAAAAAGGGCGCGATCAACATCTCCGATTGTCAACATTGAAATTCGAGTGGATATCATTACTATCAAACATTTGGTATGGTAAAGCTTCATGAGTCTGGACCCTTCAAGAAGGCCGACGTTCGCACTCTCTCCATCTTAACCTCCGTCGTTACTCGGATCTGGCCCTGCCTGGCCCATTCTCCCCCGACCAAATCATCCGACTTGCGCACCTCGACAGTCATGCCTGATGCTGGCGATCGTATCCCTCCGGCATAGCCACGCTCCTCGTCCCCGCCCATATCGCTCTCCGTGTCTACCGTCTGCTTCTTCGATCGTGCGGTGAGCTCCACCTCGTCGTCGCCTCGTCGCGGTTGTGTGTGGTTCTTGGAGTTGGTCACTTTGGACATGGAGTTGCTGGCCTGTGATATCGTCTTGCGGACCATGGACTTGAGCCATGGCGGTGTGTAGTGTGAGATCATGGGTCGCAGGTGGGGGAGACACGCGGCGATGATGTAGGTTCCTGTTTCAATGATACTCCAGCCGACGAGACCGACGGATGCCCCTAGTCGGAGTGTTAGTCAACTTGCGCATCTTCAAGAGTACTACCAAGTATCACTTACATGTACGGTCCGAAAAGGCAGAGTTGCTGAAGAAAATGACGGCTCTGATGATACTGGCAACGATACCACTGTGAACTTGTTAGTCTCGGCGCCAACTTCCCCTCTCGTCCAACACGGAATAAACTTACAAACTGCCAATCATGAAGATGCCGATGAGGGCAATGCGCTTATGCGTCGGCAGCTTCAGGTCCCAAATAGTCTTGAGCGGCAAAGTCATGATGAAGAAGTCCAGCACGAAGCCCGGAATGCTCTGTGCATGGAAAAAGGCCTGAACGTCGACACACTTTCCGCCTGGAATTGTCCGGTCCCACCAGAATTCGATGGGCTGACACTGGAAGCACGCAGTGATGATGAAGGAGAAGCTCGTCGCGGCTAGAGTCGCCAGCAGCACGTAGGCGGTCGTTCGCATAGCCCCCTTCCAGTTGAAGACGCGCAGGTACAGGCAGACGATGCCCATCTTGGGCAGCGCGACGGAGGTGAAGTAGATGATCTCAAACGCGAGGATGCACTTCGCCCACCCGGTCAGGAGGGCTGGATGAAACTCCTCGACAAATTCAACATGCCGTCCAACACCGCCGACCTTAACCATGACTGACGAATTCAGAGTTAGTCGAGAGTTCGGACCTCGAACACCACGCCATTTCCACGCTGGGCAGAAAACCTACCGATGCCGACGGCGCACATCCCTAGGTCCACCACATAGGCTGCCGCCAGGAAATAGTCGTCCAAGCCATACCCGCCAGCAGTAAACCGTTTTGCGAATAGTCGCAGGCCGAGAAAAAAGGTCGTCAGGACGGCAAAGGCGATGGATATGCCTATGAGCGTGCCGCCAGAATCTTCCGCGAGATATTCGGCCGTCACGTTGTGTGTAGTTTCGCCTTCGGCGGCCAAGACGAGGCCGGACATTGTGAGTCGTCGAGGGCAAGCTGAGCCGATCCACGGCCAAGACACGATAGGATCATGAATCCCTTCACTCCCTCGCTGTGAGAAAGGAATGAACCCAGAGGTCGAAAAATAATAATACTATCGCAAAACCCGCCGCAGCCCTATCTTGGCGGTTTGCGGGACCCCTCTTTCTTTAATAAATCCCGACTTGGCACGTCCCCAGGTGCCCCATTGTGTGATGGCGAAAGGGGGGGAGGGTCCGGAGGGAGGCAGAAAAGAAGAACCTGATAATGGCCGGGGGGTTGAACATTAAGATCTCCAGCGGCATGATCAGGTCATGGCCAAGAATCCAACGCCATCTGCCGTGAGTGGTCGGCGACAAGCAAAGCAGGGGTATATTTGCGCCTCCTTTTTTGCCATTTGCCCAACTTTTGTGGTAATGGTTTCCACCATGCCGCATCCTAAACATGCGGAGAACGTATTCTCGGGGCTCACACTTGCCGGTGCGTCCCATTGTCGGACGCTAAAGCTGGCTAAAGTTGGCTTGGTTGATTAGCACGAGGGGGACCTTGACCAGTGAGACGATGAGATGGTGGTAAGACGGCCCCTTCAAGCGTCCATCAAGCCCCCCCTCCAACGGTGTTGAACAGCCACACGAAGGACACCTCTTAGCTCAGCTCGTATGAAACGTCGCGTTCTAGAATGATCGTGGAAAGAGAGTTTGAGATGGACATGGGGTAGCCTTGTCGTCATGCTGCGGCCCTCCAAGAGATCGGGCACTGGCTTCCCTTCCCATTCGTCGCAGCAGGGTACGACTCGCGACAATTGTAATCTTGAGCTTCTCCACCATCCTGGGAGCCGTCCTCTCCTAGGCCCGAATCGGACCCGTGCCGCAGCTTGCTAGCCACATATTCCCGGCGTCGCCTTGGATGCGTGGATGCCTCGACAAATGCTTCCTTGGAATCCCTTTCCTCTCCACCGAGGACGACGGGGGGGGTTCGAAAGGCGAGTTTCTAATTCACGTCGATGAGACGTTGGAATATGACGGAGGGGGCACAGCATCAGAAGCCAATTTCTGCCTTTCATTGGTCTAGACCCCGCGTGGTCGATGGGACTTGGAAGGTTACCGTAGCCATCTGATCATCTCGTTGAAGAGAAACTAATCAGGTCCTGGCAAGCCTGGAAGTAGACAAACATACCAAGCCTTGGGTGTTTCCTCTCCCACCTTGTTGCCCTCATTCTTCAGCATATTCTGCCCGAGCGCGGAAGTTTCTTTGAATCCTCCCTCGTTCTCGCTGGCAGACGGCAAAAATATGGCAACTCCCTGTTGCGTTCGTTGGTGAACGGCAGAAGGCGACGGCACTGGCACAGATGACTCGTCTCACTCTCGCCCAGGCGTGAACACTCCCGTCAGCCTGCCTTTCAGCGCCATGTCGCAGCAGCGAACAACTGACCCATGCGTTTGTCTGGCGTCATGGGGTTCCTAGGTGGACACGAAGCCGATTTTGCAGGATTCATGCTCGACCTGTCGTTGCGAAAAGACAGGGAGAAGCTGAGGAAAAAGAGGTCCAGCATACGGGACTATTGTTCAGGGCCCCACGGCGATCCGTCGGCTTATGGGTATGACGAGTGGATATTGACTCCATCGCGGCCGATCCCCGATCTTGCTTCGCCTCGGTCCTATTTCCTCTTTATGCTGGCTGCGACCCGGCTGGGGATGGGAATCCTTATGCTGCCAACGCGTCGACTCTCGGGGTATTTCAAATGCGCCTGTGTTGCTGCAGCCTGCAGGTAAGATATCCAGGAGATGAACACCTTATTTGATGCCGCTATCGTGTTCGTCCCTTGACTCCCAGTCTTTCACCATGTAAAGACGGCTTGTGGGTGCTGACTGCTCGCTTGCTTGCTGAAGGAGCCGGATCGCATGTCTTTCTGCCCCAGTCGATTTGCTCCTCGACGATCGTGATCGGCAGCAAGATTCTGGAGAGGACTCCGTCCCTCCAGTCGCCAAAGCCGGAGTGACTGCTCAATTGGGCCCAACCTCGATTTCGTGCGTCGAGACCGGAATCCAGTGTATTGGTAAAGGCTGCAACCTGTACGAAGTATGCAGTGATTTTAGCACTAGCTGCTGAGCCTCGGTCGTCAAGATCACAAATGTAACCGTACAGCCAGTCCGGGTGGGCGTTTCAGATCCTCATGGAGATGCATCCCTAATTCTCTCAAAAATCCGACCAGGTCTACCCGCACCACGATTTCGACGGCCCTGGTCACTCGTATTACTGCAGCCAAAGGATCATTGGCACGAGGAGTATCGAGCAAAGGTCCCCCAAGAGAAATTTTTCCATCGGCTCGTGGGTCGTGACTAGTAGAATGGCACGACTGCGTCGAGACTCAAGAAGTAGTCAGCCAATTACGGAATATTCAGTTCGATGCCCGTGCTGTAGCCTGGGATTCGTTCCATGATTAGAAAGGCGTGCCGGTGGGAGTAGAACACTCCACGACATTTGCAACCGAAAGACAAGTGTTCAGTCAACAGTTTTCGTCCGTTCTCTGTCTCACTCGAGCTTTTAGACGTCGATTCCCTGCGTATCGTAGAAGGTGGACTGGCGATATGCGATGCCACAAACGCATCCCAGCCTGGCATCACGGCAACTACCCTTTGCGACCGTGGTGATACTGCACACCTAATGCTCGGGATGCGACACGATGCAGACTCGACCTCAAGCCGTTGATTTCAAACTTGCTCTCGGTGATGCATCAATACTGCACAAGTAGTCGCGGCCCGGCGTTGCTGCAGTTCAAATGATGCCTCGATGCCTGGCGGCCCGCTGGTGCAGGTTGAGCAGAAGAGAAATGACAGGACGGGTTACCATGCCGGCGAGGAGATGGTCCATCTGGGTGTCATGTCCAGGGATAGCCTTGATAGATTCGGAGTGACCGTGTCCCGTTTGTCAAGACATCTGACTGGATGCTCGCCCGAAATCAACCAGGTAGGAGAGGCCATCCACATCTTCAGGTTTGCAACTGCGGCAACCACCAAGACATGGTGCTCTTGGGCCACGTATGCGACGAGGCTCTTCGCGTTGATTCGACGAATAAGGTAACTTTTGACTCTTTTTGAACATCGATCAGGAGGAAATCTCGGAGGTGGTATCCAGCATCGAAGAGAACACCTCTGGCCCGCGCTTATGTCGACATCGAGTTCCTACTTCGGTACCGAGTAGTGGAGGCTGCATCCTGCTTAAGCGTTGCAGTTACATCGTGGACAGCATGCTTTGAGGCCGCGCTGGTACCATTTCACAGGTCGCAGTCTAGTCGCATTCCGTGATGAATGAGAAAATGCTAGGGCATCGAGATCGAGGTGTTTCTCAGTGTGGCGGGAGGCATGACAGCACGCCGGTCTGTTAAATTGGTCCATTACAGCTTGGCTCTCCTCCTTCTCAGGGCCTTCGTAGGTGGCGAAGCTGCTGATTCGGAGACAGTGTCGCTTCTCGGCCCATCATTGATGCGAGCTTCCAAAGTGTCTTGTCTGAGTTTCGACGACTTCTCCGCTGGAGGTAAACGGCGAAGCGGAATCACTTGTTGCATGTGTACGCGGAAGAACATGGTGAACGATGAGGTTGGCTGTTGGAGTTGTGAACGAGAGAAGTTGATGCCTCAATTACACGCAGGAAAGGGTAGTGGCCTGAAGGCAGGAGAAAGTCAGTGTCCGATTCGACAAGGTGCGTTATCGATACGGTATTATGTCATCTTTCTTTATCGTGAGCTTTATCGATTAGATAATGCGCAACGTCCCGTCTCCTCGGGAAACCTCCAAGTTCACCGCGGGAAACGGCCATTTACACCACGAACCCCTCGAGATAAGGATGAATAACATCAATAGCCACGGCCAAGTCGGCGGATCATGCAGTAAACTTTGCCTCGATCTTACCAGAGAGGCGCCTTGAACATCAGAAACATGTCGCCCGAGGCCGACAGTGGCTCCTTGCCCTCGGAGCGCCCCTACCGCTCCCATCTTCGCCCGGCCTGCCTGGCTTGCCGGAAGCGCAAGTCCCGGTGTAATGTCGACAAAAACGGAGGAACATGCTTGACTTGTCGAGCTCACGGAACACAATGCGAGTTCCCGCCGGCTCCTGGTGGAGCTTCGCCGCGGCCGAAGTCTGCTTGGAGAAATGCCCAAGCCAGTAGATCAAAGGACCTGGGCCACCGCCCGTCCCCTCCACCACAGCCTCCGGCTCAGACGTTCTCCTCGGAGCTCCAGTACGACGACCAGACGAACCAGCTTACGTTGGCCGAGGCAGACCGGCGTTTGTCAAAGTCCTCAGATGGCCATCCTCCCATATTCTCACCCCAGAAGAAGCGGTACCCGGAACCCATTGGCGATGGCGGAGAGGATGAGGCACATATTGTGGGACCAGCAGACATTGAAGATACTCAAGTCTTGTCCACGTACTTGTCTAATGATTCGTCTGGTTTGAACCGGGGTAGGATATCGGTGACAAGCCCACGGCAAGAGCATGGAGGTGGCTCAAGGAAACCCGTTGTCTTTACCACGGTGAGGAAGCAGCCTATCGGTCTTCCTGACGACCGGAACCCAGCTTTCCTGAAGTGCCAGATGATTGAGAAACTTCTTGAGCCAATGCTACCCGATGTTATCCAGCTGTAAGTCGCAGTCAGCTTATACTGGTGCGTATCGTGACCTGACTTGCGCTTCTAGCTTTTTTGAAAAGCCCAACCGTTGTTTTCCCTTGTTGGATAGACAGTCCTTTGAGAAACGGTTCGCCGAGGACAGGAGGCACATATCGCCGGCCTTATTGGCTTCGCTCTATGCGCATACAATGACCTACTGGGCACAGTCCCCCGAGCTCGTCACTCAACACCGGCCCGATACTAGGTTCATTTGGAACCAGGCCAACGATGCCCTTTACTCTGAAATGCACCTGTCCCCAGGTATCTCGACTTTGCTAGCCATCCTTCTCAATATCGCCGGCCGGCCATTGACTTCGATTATCGGAAACGGCCTTCAGCTTGGCTCCGCCATCTCTCTAGCTCACTCACTCGGCTTAAATAGAGACTCTTCCGATTGGGATATTCCAGAAGCCGAGAAGCTCCTGCGAACAAAGATCTGGTGGGCCATCTTTGTGTATGATAAGTGGTATGTGCAAGCACAACGCATAGAAGTAATTCTCTTGGGCTAATGATTTACCTAGGTCGAGTCTGGCGTACGGCACGCCGCCGCAGCTCAGAAGCGGCCAGCACGACGTCGCTCTTCCTACAGTAGAGCAGCTATGCGGCTCGGCACCAAATCCTGTCGACCACGAGGCAACGTCTGTGTACTTGGCATTCGTCGCTCTATCCCGTTTTCTCGACAGATATCTGGAGCGCATCTATGACCTAGAAAAGACCTCAACTACCGGTCCTTGGGACCTGGAGGTCTTGCTCACACAGTGGGAAGACTCACTGGATAACAACATAAGGCGGAGGATCATCCGCGGGGGCGAGAGTCTCGACATACCAGGTTCAGCGAACCTGCGCCTCGCGTATCTCTACATCAGGCTATTGCTTCGGAAGTGGGAACTCGACGCCGAGAAGGCAGCCAACGCCGACCACACATCTTCGATCCCCATGCGTTGCTATCTTGAAGTACGACGGGCGGCCGAGGAGATTGTGCTTCTGGTTCAAGAACTTAAAGATCCCCAGCTTGGCGACTACTGGCTCCCGCTTCTCACCTTTGCATTCACGTCCACCACCAAGTTCCTCCTCCGCTGCGCTTTAGAAACAGAGAACACTGTCAGCGGTCTGGCGCAAAGTATGTCGCTGAAGCTGGCACGCGATCTCATCAATGCGCTGCAAGTTCATCGACAAAAAGCCTGGGACGTGGGAGACTTGTGCATTGCGCAGTATTCCGAGGTCATTGAGAAGCTTGCCACGTCCACGTCGAGCGCAGAATTCTCTGAGCAGCCAGTAGATATGCCTGAGCTTCAAGAGTTCGTGTCGACAAGCGTGCCTGACATTGATGAGCTCTTCCCTAGTCTATGGGATATGTTTGGCCAGCAATAGATAATAAGATGATCTTCAATGGCAGTTTGCTGCGTCGCTAGACCCCATATTGGCAATGCCGATTTCCGGGCGGAAATAATACGGATGGACTACTCCGACGGACTACTCCGTTCACAACTTCACATCATCAACTCTTAACACTGTCAAGAGCCCCCATCCCATTGCACATCAACCTCAGCATATCAACTTTCGCGCTGAGAGGGGCGACCCAGTGCTTTGAATGATGAACGTTGGCAGGCCCTCGAGAGTCAAATTTCCATCCAGGATCGCGACTCATTTACCCCGCACCCTCGGCGTCAACTCTCGTAGGCTGTTTGCCGTCACCTCACCCCGGAACTCATCGATAGCCTCACATAAGATGGAGTCGAAAAGAGTCGCTGTGCTCTATCAAGCCATAGATCCTCCTGTCATCAATGGGGTGCGCAAGCCGATGAAGCCTGGTGGTTAGTCTTATCTCGTAAACATGCTTGCCCCAACTTCAACTAACAGCTCTTAGGATACCGCGACTCAGGCGCCGACATCGCCTTTAACCTTCAAGCTAGCAAGTCTGTCAATGCGATCACTCCAGTCTCGACGCCCTCACCAGAGAAAGATACCGAGTGGTGCTTCCCAGATACCGAAGAAGGGATTCAGGACGCTGTCAACAAGGGAGCGACTCATCTCTGGGCCAACACAATCTTATTCGCATCTCACCCACTGGAAACTTCCACGTCCCTCGGCAGTGTTCAAGATACACTCAAAGTCGTCGGACATGGGCCTCTTGTGGTCGAAAAGTACGATGACAAGGAATACGTGAATGATTTGCTTCGCCGGATCGGTAGCTTTACGATGCCTCGCTCCTGGACAATCCACTCCGACCCAGCGGTAGCAACAAACATTGAGCAGCTCGAGTTGCCGTTCCCAGTTGTCGCAAAACCCATTCGCGGACGGGGAAGCCACGGCGTTCGAGTCTGCCAAAGTCTCGAGGATCTCACCGCCCACAGCAAAGTCCTCTTCCAAGAGTCACCGAGCATTATGTTGGAAGAATACCTCTCTGGTGAAGAAGCCACCATCACCGTGATGCCTCCGAATGGTGAGAAAAAGGACTACTGGTCCTTGCCCATTGTCACGCGCTTCAATCATCAACACGGGATTGCTCCCTACAACGGCGTGGTAGCGGTCACTGCCAATTCGAGGGTAATAACAGCAAAGGAAGAAGAGGACCCTGCGTATGGACGAATCGCGAAGGAGTGTGAGGCAGCAGCGAGGGTATTGGGCGTCGCGGCTCCCATTCGCATTGATGTGCGACGATTTTCTGAGACTCCTGGGTCCGACTTTGCTCTATTTGACGTAAACATGAAGCCGGTAAGCTCGTCTCCCCAAAGTGAAGATGCCGCTCAAGACTCTCTAACGAACCATTTCATTTAGAACATGACCGGCCCTGGACGACCTGGACGAGACGACCAGGCGAGCTTAACACTTCTGGCAGCTGAAGCACTGGGCTGGGACTACCCGGAGCTGTTGAGGCAGGTGTTGAATACATCCTCAACTCTGAAAATACTGAGGGAATTGAAGCCGATGGAAAATTGAAAACAAAACGACGAGGTCTCCTGGAATGGGACACCTAGCGGGTGAAGTAGCTATTCAGTAGGCATCGAATCAAAAACGAGAAAGAGAAAACACGAAAGGGATCATCGTGACTTGCCTCAATCAAGGATTTCATTACAATGGAGCCTGAAGGGCGGTGTGGGTGAGTAAGGTGAATGAAAAGCACTAGACAGAAAAGCATCACAGATCACACGAATTCACAAAGAGAAGGAACAAGATATGTGTTTGCAATGCCAGTGTATTCTTTGTCACACCGGATAAGCAGCCTGTAGCTGCTGATATGAACGAGCAGCCTGTAGCTGCCAACGACGAACGAAAACCTGATACTCGTCGAAGCTTAATCACAATGAAGAATGAATGACCCATAGACCTGAATCCTCCTTGATGCCTGTTCCCAAACCCAGTCCGTCTTGAATCCCAAGTGTTCCCATGGATGAAAATGAATCCTCCATAAGTATGCCCAAAATCCACCGATCCAGGTTCCTTCCCAAACTTCTTAAGATGTTGAGATCACATGAGTGTAAAGGTGCCATGAGACCTAAGCCGAGGCCGTGACAAAGACAGTCTGAGTCTCAGTGATGACGGGCTCGACAGCGGTGCCACGAGTAATGATCGGGGCGCCGACCATGCTATACTCAGTGGACGAGGAGGCAAGGGGAGTCGAGGTAGAAGCAGCGGCGGCCATCCCCGGATCCTCGCTGAAGGTAGTGAGGAAGAAGCTGGGCTCCGAAGTGGTAGGAGTAGCGAAGGAAGTGTAGTCGGGAGCGATCGAAGGCATCGCAGGGTCCTCGCTGAAGGTAGTGAGGAAGAAGGATGGAGTAGTGGGGGTAGGACCGGAGAAGGGAGTGTAGATGAAGGTGGCAGTGCCAGGGAAACGAGGGTAGTCATCCACACCGGCGGTGCAGATGTAGGGCTTGGAGCCACTGGTTCTAGTCGCGGTGACGCACCAGCTGGAGACGCGCTCGTAGATATCCATGGCGGTAGACTGCTCGACAGGAGCAGCGGTGGCAATCTCCATGGAGAGAGCAGAGGTGATCTGAGGAGCGGTGACAATGGGAGCGTTGACCTGTTCGAGAGTAGTCTTGGTGCCAATGTCCACGTTGAGAGCGGTCTTCTTGGGAGCACACATCTCCAAGATGCCAGTGAGGCCAAGAGCGGGCTCACTGATCGGGAAAGTGGTGCACTTGTTGACCTCGGTAGCGGTGGGCTGCTTGTAGTCCGCCATGGTGGTGGTCTGGTGAACGACCAAGGCCTCGGAGCTGATGCTCATGATGGGCTTGGAAGCGTTGAAGCCAAGGTCCTTGCGAATATTGTGCTTGAAGCCAGCGATACCGGCCTGAGTGGGAATCTGAGCGCCAAGGCCGTTGACAGCAGCCTGGTTGTCCAGAACGGGCATACCATTGACGGCAGCGCCGATGATGGTGCCGACGGCGGTGATGGCAATATAGGACTGGAAGGGAAATATTTGTGAGCTTCCAGAACGCCATGATGATTTTGGGGATGGGAGGCATGAGAAGAAGCAGAAAATAATCACAAACGTGCCTTCATCGTGACTGAGATGAGTGAAGAATTGGAATTCTTGGTTGGTGATGATTTGTTGGTTGGAAGTGATGGATTGCTTTGTTGTTTGTTTGTGATTGTGAGTGTGGAAGTTGATTGTGAAGAAGAAAGTGTGTGGTTTGTGTGAGGAAAAAGAGAAGAAAGCGGGAGTGTGAGGGTGAGTGAGAAAGGATTGAGTGGAAGAGGTGGGCGGTCGAAAGGCAGTGGGTGGGCAGAGCAAGAGATTTTCCGTGGGTAGGGCTAGCTCTTGCGATCCTTTCAATTCAGGCAAGAAGGGGGAAGGAAGAAATAGGCAGCAGCGATCTGAATTATGTGAGTTGGGTGGTGAGATGGAATACGCATCGAAAGATCGAGGAGGTGAGGTTATTCAGGGGCACACGTGACTGGGTGGAATACCACGAGTGAGGCTGGTTACCACCTCTGAATGGCTTCACAAAGCACGCTAGCCTTGCGATTATCTTAGTCACCAATCCAATGAGAACCTCTGGTTGGTCTATTACTCACAATATCACGTGTGTCCTCGATGAAGGCTATCTGGGTGAAATATGACCATCGATCATCGCCCTCCACCTTCCCCAACTTGATCTCTCGCTTATCTAGCATTTGTGGATCTTTTCCGACGAGTCTGGGATCTCTGTAGATGTTTACTCATCTTGATTCAGAGGAAAGTGCTGCAGCCTTGGTTTTGTCTAACTCGACAGGTCCTCAGGTTGGACCGCCCGAGTGAAGCTGCCTTGATAGGTCAACTCGGCTGCGAGAAGGGGGCCAATGGAACATCACAAAGAATTCATGCAGTCAATTAGATTCAGAAACTCGAAAACCTAGTTCTTCTGACTTGGGTTTCATTTCTAGATTCATGGTCTACGCCTAGACATGTCCAGCTGGGGTTGTGGGTTGGTCGTCCTTGAGTCTCATGCCATAAGGTAGAGGAAGGTAGTTGCTGGGCAACACGAACTGCCATCATCAACATCACAGACTTGGCTTATAGCCGTCGGACGTACTTCAACTTCAACTACTCACGTGCTATCTTTCCTTGACTGAGTCGTAAAATTAAGATTATCCGTATGTCCCAAAGTTGTTCCGAGCCCGCGGCCTTCGGCCCGAGGGCGGTGCCGTCAATAACCTCGCAATCCGCAAAGCCTTGGATGACTTTGGTTTGACAGGCCACAGATGACTTCATTCCTTCAGTATAACTGGGAAGGAGTAGTCTTGGCGAGATTCATAAGTACCACTCTTGCCCGTGCCACGTCTGATGTTCATGCATTGGCAGTCTCCGGGGGTGGTTAGGTTGCCACATGGGCGGTTTGTTTTCCTCGACTACATGTATCTTCCGAGAAAGATCTACCGTCTTACTTCGCGACGTGGATGAGATGCCGGACTCCCAGGTGCCTGCTGCCGCTTGTAAACGACACCTTGGGCTGGCTAAGCTAGTAGCTAAGAAGCAGACTTCACGTGGCGACGTTACAATGCTTCAAACCCGGGAAGCCGGCTCAGGTGTTCTGACAGAGCTGATCCAATTGTCAAGGGACATTCCTGCCGAAGATCATCTTGGCGTGCATCAAGCCATTGACGAGACGGGTAGACCCAAGACAACCGATTGCCGGCTGAATCTTGACTAGGAGAGCCGCACCTCACGATGAGTGGTTTCCATCCTTCGTACCTAGGCCAAGGAATCGCTAATGTGCCTGATTCAGGACAACTTTTGACTTTTTCGATGTTCTGTTTACTGATTCTGTTTGTATCGTGATCAACTTCCTTTGTGCTTCTCTTGTGGTCCAGCCCTCGGCCGAAAAGAGATTTCCGGCCTCGGCCATCAAGTTCTCATGCAATTCGCCGCTGAGACTCGGAGATCGAGTCAAGAACTCGGCTGGGCAAATTTGGCACGCCAAGCCAAGCACAGGCCGGCGAAACGGTCCACCATCGTCAGCAGAGTCATGTAACGGTCTCCCTCCGACACTCTTCTCTCGGCCCTTTTTCGTCCCAAAAAAGACCTCATACACTCTAGGAATCTCACCAAACCAGCTCAAATTTCGAACAACCCAACTATCTACAGACAGTAGATGACCGCTTTGTCGGGCCCGCACACGCCCAAACTCTCGCTGCCTGGCATCCCATGTGGGTGAACGTCAACATCCGTAGTTGCGATGGCGTGGCCCAGCCTACATCTATCGTGTGTCAAGTTGAACAGAGTTTTGCTCTAGTAAGGGGGACTTGGGATGAACGAAACAAAATATTTTGCAGCCAAGACTATGCGCTGAGGCGCCAGCAATCAACCCATACTCGTCTCGTCCACTTCGAGAGAAACTACCGTGCAGCCCAATGCCGTACGATGCTGTACGCGCGAGGGGTGGCTGTCAATAAGCTTGTTTGTGGGGTTTAGAGTTACATGATCTCCGCAATATTCAAAGATCGGCCCTACCAGCCCCTAAAGACGATCGCCGTTCCTGTCTTAGTCTTCTTTGGCGTTCTCTGGCGTCTCCGCACCGTCATCAACCTCTGACTCTCGTAGGCTCTATTCTGGGAGCGCCGGAGTTAAAGAACGCCAAAAGGGTTCTCGAAGAAATAAAGTAGCGCATCCCAGAGCCCTGATTGAAGGTCTCCAGACTCCAGAGCCAAGAGGCAGAAGGGAAAACTCCCGGTAATTGTCCACAGCGCATACACAGTCGTACTGCTGCATCGCGAACGAGAACAACGACTCGCGGAGATCCACCGAGGCCACGACGTCCGAAGCCGGACTTTATCCCGTTGGTGTTTTGGGCTTGCAAGTCAGGGATAGTCGCCAGGGATGCGCCCATATCTGCGGGGGAATGGTCCCATAGTGCCAAGCCAAAGAGCAGACATTTTTGGCTTCATCAAATTTCACTACCCTTTCACATTTCTCTACTGCCCAGTACTCACGACTCGTTCGGCTCTACTATGATCTCCGCTGCCCGCATAGTCCGCAGTCCGTACCAAAGACCAGCTTACCATCCGCCCGGTGTCAGCCCAACTACCGGCCGACGCTAGTCAACACCAGTAACGGTTCCACGGGCAGCTCTGACAAGAAACCATTGCCCCTAGTTACCTAACGTGGGATTCCAAACGTCATAGCTTCATGGTCCCTGTTCCAGTAGAGTGGGATATTATGAACTAATAGACGCCAAGCCCAATGGCTTGTCGCGGACGAGCCGATACAAGATGGGTACGGATACAGAATAGCAGCACCATAAAGAAGCTTCCCGTCCCGCTACCGCCGCCGAAGGTTCCTCTACCGTTGCGACCTCCCTCACTCCTTTGATGATATAAGTATAAGCGGCGGGGACTCCTCTTACCTTCTCCCAGCCAAATCATCGTCCTGTGGTTCCAAGCCGCAAGCATGTCTCTCATCAACGTTGACCTCCACGCCCTGGCGACAGGAGGCGCCGGCTACCTCGCCTCCATCA